TTTTTTTTACTTTTACAAAGTATTAAAATTTGAAAGTAAATGTGAAGATAGAATGGTATTTCGAAATGTGAGGATTTGGGCTGGCCAAATAGCTCAGCAGATTAAAGTCCTGCCCCTTGGCCATTCTGAGAGGGCAAATGAGACTGGGTGTGATGGCTAGTGCCTATAATCCCAGCTCTTGGGAGGCTGTAAACAGGAGAATCACTACAAGTTCGGTCTAGTAGTGAGACCCTGAACACCCTGTAGACCCTTCCCTAAAATACAAAAAAAAAAAAAAAAAAAAGATTTGTGCTAATACTGTGTGGGCATTGTTTCATGCCTGTATCTTGCAGACTGAGTAACTGCTATGAAGATCACAATACACAGTGTATTAACTATTGTTCCTCTCCTGTTATCTTGTTTTGATAGTGTTTTTTTGTTTTTATTTTATTTTTTCTCCATAATTTTATTGAGAAACAAATAGCAATGAGACAGTTTCAAATCAAATTGGTAAGACAGTTTCAATAATTAACACATTGTATACTCTTTTCCTATGCTTTTTGTTTTTAATTAAAAAAATACATATACACTGTGACTTAAATACTACCCAACTCTTTCTCTCTCTCTCTCTCTCTCTTTTTTTTTTTGGCAGAACTGGGGATTGAACTCAGGCCCTTGCGTTTGCCAGAGAAGCACTTATTCCACTGAGCCATCTCCCCAGCCCCATGACCCAACTCATAATTATGCTCAAAGACTAGGGCAGATTACTAGTATAGATTACTGACTACATTTGTCAAAATGTGCTAACAGTAGGATTTTATTTTCACTGATGATAAAATCAGCACTGACACTAAAGTCAGGACCCACATGACCACACACCATCCCGTTTTATCACAGTAACTTCTGCAAATCTTTTTTGATATCTGAAGGCTCCACTGCCCCCAGCCCACCCCCTGCAGAGTTGACAGCCCACTGGGTTCTGGTCTGAATAATGACGTTTAGGTCCGATAACTCCATCGTGCCCCAAGAAGTTCAAAGCTGCCTGAGTTTTGCTACCTCAACTTCCTCCTCTGCCTCTCAAAATAGCTCTGCATCTGTATCCTCGCTGGCCTCTGGCACGGGGCTCTGCCTTCTTGCCCTGCGCCTCCAGCCCACCTCTGTTTCCCACCGCTGCCCCTCCATCCGCTCTGTGCACCGCACAAGTAGCCTTTTACTCTGGCCGTCAGCAGTGAGTTCAGTTCTGCCACTTTCTCTGTGTTCTCTATAAATTCAACTACCTTGCCCACTGCGAACTCTGCCTTTTAGAACATGAGATAGTTTGCAATTAATAAGGTACCCCAAACTCAAAGAAGAACCATTATGACTGGACCCTTTTTCTGGCTAAAATCTGCCCCCAAGCCCAAAGGCTCCCTCCTCAGACTTGCAGCATGGGGGCTGCTGCCCCATCTCCCTTTCCTGTACCCCACGTCTTCAGAGCCCCACATCCCGCCACTACCCCCATGCCTGACCACCCACTCGGTGCTTCTCCACTGCTCTCTGCCAGCCCCATTCAACTGGAACAGCTCGGTTCAAAGACTGATGCAAATGCCAGGGCCTTTCCCAGGCCCTGGGCCGCAGACTGCTGTGCTGCCCAGGCGAAGGCCTTGGAGTGGGATTCCACGCTCACTCTGTCTCCCACAGTCATCAGTCCGGGTCCTGTGGTTCCTAGTTCTGTGACACATCTCGCACCCAGCGCTACCTCAGAATGTTCATGATTTCCTTCCTGGATTAGTGCAAATGTCTTGTTTTTTTGTGTGGGGGGGGTTCGATCACTCTCTTGTCCATTCTGCACATGGCTCCTGGGTGAAACTTCCCAGACTGCAAGTCCCTGTTTGCCCCGGGATAGCCTGCTGGAGAACCTCCACCGCCTCCTGCTCAGGCCACCACCCCAGTGTGCACACTTGCAGCACCCTGTCCCCCCCAAACCCCCCGAACTGAGGCTGGCTCTGTCCCCTGCCTTCTCCTCTGAGTCTGCTTCTCTTGGCCTTTGTACCTCCTGTCCACTGTGCAGGTCACCCCGCACCTTCGTCTGCCCTCCTTACCCCTGCAGGTTAATTCTCTTTCAGCTCCCTGTGGGTCCTTTGCCTTTGTCCTTCTTTCCTCTGCCTTTGTCCCTCCCTCCTCTGCCTTTGTCCCTCCCTCCTCTGCCTTTGTTCCTCTCACCTCTGCCTTTGTCCCTCTCTGCTCACTGAGGACTTTTTCTTGGTAAATGGCAACTCCTTTCATGGAGCGAATGTTTCTTAGGGGAGTTGTGTGTCCTGCTAGGGTCACTCAGGGACCTGTTTCCTGGTGCTGTGAGCCCGGCGAGTGTGCCACTGAGCAGCTCGCCCAGGTTGTGTGGCCTGCGCTGCAGAGCGCCCGCTGGAACACAGCCAGCTGGAAAGGACATGTTGGCCTACATGCTGCTGGCTTCTTCTGCCTCTGTAGAATGGCTCCGAGCTGGTCGTCCAGGGTTGTTCTTGAAAGGACCAGCGGCCAAGGAAGTGGGTGGGGAGCAAGCCCAGAAATCGCCCCTGCTCAGGTCATGGCACTATTAGAAACGGGAGCAGGGCGTCCTGGAGGTAAGGCACTTTCCAATTTCTAAAACCACTCCGCTCCTTACCGCCATCTCCTTTTAGCCCTGTACACAAAGCCCACAGATGCCTTACCTGACTCTCTGAGGCTTCGAGGCTCGAGGGCTGATTGGGATGTTTGCGGCTCAGTTCGGAACGCTGCCTCTGCTTTCTCGGGTCGTGGAGGGTGAGTGAGACAGACCAGGCCTGGGGCTGGTGTCTCCGATGGACACCAGGTGACAGGAAATCAGTAGCGTCTGCCACCTTGCGCTCTGCTCCAATTACTTCGGTTCCATGTAAGCTTACCAGAGCCGGAGGAGGCCCAGAAGACCTTGGGCTGTACCAGGTTTCACTTCTTGAAAAGTACCCCAGGGGACAGCCAGAGTGCTTCATGCTACCTTAATTAGAAGGACTTCTGCGGCCCCCACCCTGCAAGCAGGTGTGCGTGGTGGGTCCCTAAGGGCAAGGAGGGCTCTCGAAGTTCTCCAAAGATGGGCTGGTGGGGCCAACTTTTACCTTTCCGCTTCACTTGTAGGGATGAGTAGGCGGGGAGGAGGCATCTGTGCAGGGATTATGTGCGCATGTGTCCTCAGGAGGATCAGACTCCAGGTTGTCAAACGCGACACCTGTACTTTCTCTTAGGAGTCTAGCGAACCGTGTCCGCCTCGTGTGAGATTTAGCAGAAATGGCCTGAAAGTATGGCAGCGCTGCAGAACATGATCCAGGAGCTTGAAGCAAGAGTCTGTTTCCACGTTTGGGGACAGAATTTGAGCCAGCACTCTGACCTATGGACCCTCCCTGTCCTTCCAGCAGCCTGGATGGAAGCAGCGTCATGATTACCTTAGTTATCGGCTGTGCAGTGAGGCCCGACCCCAGTTCCTTGGGAAGGAGATGCAGCCCCCACCCGCGAGCCCCCAGGAGAGAGGCCAGGTATCTAAGTAACCTAGAATTTGCTTACAGGTCAAAAAGTCCCCTTGTTGTTCTTATGAATGATTCATCCTAAGGTAAGTGACTTTCAAGTATTTTAGAGTTTCGTGGTTCTGTTCTGATGAAATGCTTTGCATCTTTAACAGAACAGGAACATTGGTTGGATTCTTACCTATATGCCTAACCCTGTCCACATAAGTAGTACTCTGACATGTACAGTATTGATGGATTCTGTTTTATAATTGCAGAAACAAAAGCTCAGGAAATAAGGCACCTTCTCCCGATGCTAACAGCTAGCAAGCAATAAAGTAAGTGATGCTCATACAGCAGTACCATCTAAATTATAAGTTTTTAAAAGGTAGTGTTTCATTAAGTAGGTTTTAGGTTGCAAGTGCTGATAAGGTCTCTTGACACACTTCATTTATGGTTCACAGAAAATCCATTACATAGAAGATACCCGTGTCACACGTTAGTCTAGGAATTTAAGGGTCACAAAGCTTAAGTAGCCTGTTCAAGTCCAGCAGTTCTACACGGGGAAACACTTTAGCCTAGTTGTGGCCCCAAGCCATCGCCAGTGTGTGTCGGGACTGTCGCTCTGTAATATGTCTCAGCCCTCATGCACCTCAACACCACCTGGGTGTCTGACGTGTTTCAGCAGAGCCTCACTCTTTGGGCAGCTGACCAGCCCCTTTTTTCGCTGTGCATCCTGCCTGCCACCTTCTCCCATGCTGAGCTCTTTCAGCACACGTGGAAGCTCCTGAGTTTATTTCTTTTAGCATGCTAAGTCTCTGTTTTTCTATGCATGTCGTGTGCAGTTGAGGATCTTGATGAAAATCCTGATTCCCAATCACACTGCTGGCATAGATTCAGGAAAGTTAGCTGCATGGAGCTCTGGGTCTGTGCCTGCAGAGGCACTATAGCGATGGAAGGCCTGGTTCCTAAGCGTGCTCTGGGGGTTTCCTGGGGTACCTGACAACATTGAGGGTGTCCACCAGCCCAAATTATTTTAGCAATAATAATAATAATGCAATAGTTATTATTATTCTCCCTTTCTGCAAGGTTATAGTGATAACCTCAGGATGTAGAATACCAGAGAATACAGGGCAAAGCCACTGAGAGAATCCAGCTGTTTTCTCCTGTGGCAAAGGACAGTGGTAGCTTCCAGGCTTCACTTCGCTTTGGAAGCCTTTGTAAAGCCTCAGCTCGTGCCACTTCCCGACTCTCACTGCACCCAGACTTAACTGAAGTAGGGTGTCCACATGTGTTGGGTTGGGGCTCATGGAAGTCCTCAGGTGACAGCCAGGTTGGGAGCTGTCGTTGTGCGGAAATGAGCACAGAAATTGTTGCCTTTGTCTACATTGTTTTATTTTGGAAAATTATAGTTATTTTAGAGAAAATATTGTTTATATTAACATTAGTGACACATCAAGAGTTTCTCAGAGGGTGAAGAGATTCTGAGCTCAAAAGCTTGAGAGATAGTGGTTGGCATAGGGAGGAAGACCGTGGTCTCTAGGACCTGCGGGGGAGCCTGTTGATCCACATCTCTGCCACTGTGAGCCTGTGGCCTTGAGAAGCTCACTTACCATTTCGGGCACTGTAATAACATCCATTTGCTAGAGTTTGTGTGAGACTAAATGAGTAACAGGCATAGCATTTAGTGTGACATTAGGACATAGTAGCTGCTGCATGAACGCTCACCCTCCACTTTACTGCTGTTGCTGTTCTAGTGGACCAGCTCAGGCAAAGTTTGTGGGCTAAACCATTGTTCTTTTCGTGTGTGTGTGTGTGTGTGTGTGTGTGTGTGTGTGTGTGTGTGTTGGGGACTGAACCCAGGTCTTGGGCATGCTAGGCATTACTGTACCTCTGAGCTATGCCCTCAGCCCCTGGTCAAATCCATCCTCCCACCCAACTTGTGTTCACCCAGTGGAGTGGAGCTGCTGTGTGGAGTCCCTCAGAGATCAGCAGAAGCTTGTCAGGAATAAGGGACCCGGGATGCCTGGTCCCTCCTGGTCCTGGGCCCTGGGCCCTGGCTCACGTCTTTGTGTGTACACAGGCAGCCTATATTGCTGTCCTTTATCTGAAAGTTTGTGTGGCTAACAGAGGTGATGACCCTGGTGATCATTCTCTCTGGGGAAGATCGAAGTGGCATTGCCCTGAGGTAGGTGTGCTGTGTGTGCCCATGGCCCTCAGGCCCCTGCCCCCTTCTAGTCACTCTTCCATGTTTCACGCACTTGCCAGCCTCGAGAGTCTGCTCCTCATGGGCTTCCTCACATGCAGAGTCCTCGGAGGTAACCATACACCACATTTTTATTTCCATGGTGCTCTTTAACACCATTCCTAACAACTGAATAGGTGACACTCCACATGCAGAAAGACAGAGAAATGGCTAACTCAGCCATGGTGAAGAGCAGCAGCATCACCAGCATCCCCTGTAGCAGAAGAGAAGGAGCATGAAGGGCCATGGGTTAGTGCTGTCATGGTTTTCCTGACTGAAACAAGTTAGGGATATACAGCAATAAAGAACCCTGCTTGTCTCTCAAGGGATTGATGCTCTAGAGCTGAATTAGCGGAGCATGGTGTGAGTGGACAGACACCTCAGCTTCGGCAATGTGGGAGGGTTGAAGACTATTTGTTCAACAAAATCGTAGGAAATAATGCATTTTCCAAATTATTCATAGGAAATAATTTTGTAAATGTCTATTATGAGGCATAAAATAGATGGAATGCCTAGCTTAGTTAAAATTGACCAAGCAGTTTGTCCAGATAGTTGAACCATCTTCTACTTCTGCCAAAAAATGTGTAAGAGTGCCAGGACAGGCTCACCAGTAGTTTGTTTCTTTTCTTTTCTTTTCTTTTGTGGCCAGCTCAGCCCACCCTGAGGACAGGGCTAGCATGGTATGTGTAGGGGTATTGAGCCACAGTCTCTGCACACTTGCCTAAGCAGGAACTTTAGACCACTGAGCCATCTTGCCGGCCCCACCGGTAGTTGTTACTGCCAGTGTCTTTAATTGTCATTGCACTGTGAATCCAGTGGCAGATTCTTGTGGTTTAAGCTTGCGTTTCTCTGATGATGCTAGTTCCAAGTGTGTCCACTACCTGTTTGCCATCTTTCTTTGTGAAGTACTTGTTCAGATCTTACTCTTCTTAATTTTTTTTTTTTAAAGATGAGGTCTATTTTTTTCTTTTTTTTGCGGAACTGGGAATTGAGCTCAGGCCCATTGTGCCTGCCAGGCAAGCGCTTATTCTACTGAGCCATCTCCTTGGCCCCACTCTTCTTAATTTTTCTGTTGCTTCTTACAGATTTTCAAGAATGGTTCATGTAGATAGAATACAACTTCTTGCCAGATACATGCACTGGGAAACCCTGCCCCCTTCTGGGTCTTATATTCCATACTCTTCATGACTTCCTTGATGAAGGGGTTTAGGCTTTACTTTACTTTTTTAAAAATTTATTTTAGAAAAAAAGTTCATGCCTGTCTATTTTACTGCTTTTTTTTTTCTTTTTAAAGTTAGATGCTTGTATATTCTAAGGATTCTAGGTTTGTACACCCCAAAACACGGAAATGTTTACCTGCCTCTTTCCCTACTCTAAAAGCTTCACAGTTCAGTCTCGTTAGCATTTTTATGTCTCATGGGTCTTGTTTTTTAAGTTTACTTTTAAAATATAATTAAGTTTATTATATATATATATATATATATATTTCATTATAGGGAATTTGTACCTGCACATGAACTATTTGATTTATTTATTTATTTATTTATTTTTTAAATTTTATTTATTTATGTGTGTGTGTGTGTGTGTGTGTGTGTGTGTGTGTGTGTGTGGCCAGCTCAGCCCACCAGGGGGCGGGGCTGGCTGGCATGTGGTGCTGGGGGATTGAACCATGGTCCCCGTGCTTTGCCAAGCTTGTTCTAAGTAGGTGCTTTAGACCACTGAGCCATCTCACCAGCCCCTGATTTCTCTATTTAATTAGTGTTTAGAAAACTCAGGCCTATCACTGACTGATTTTTGCACATGACATCAGCTGTGTGTTCCTAGTACCAACTGACTTGGCCTTACATGCTGAATTGTTTCTAGTGCCTTGTTTCGAGTTCTACACCAAGTTTATAAGAGATAATTACCTGTAAGAGAGGGAGAGGCAGGTGGAGGCAGAGGTGGAGGTGGAGAGGGGGAGAGCCAAAGAGAAGGGGCATTAGCCGCTCTGGTCCCTGAGGCCACACCCCGAGACCCACCGCCTTCAACTGGGCCCTGCCTCCTACGTGTGCATGGTCTCCCAACAGTGCCATCAAATCATGATCTCATCAGTGAACTAACTGTTCATGGAGGTGGAGTCTTCATGACCCAGTTACTCCCCAAAAGCCTCACCTCTGAACCTTTGAGACTTTGGGGTGACGTTGTCTGTCTAAACCATAGAAGTATGGATTTCTTTTTTCTTAATAAGGTATGTTTGCCAAGAACAGAATACCAGGTTGGCATTCTTTTGTGCCCGTACTTCCTGGATCTCATTGCTTTACTTCCTGCCCTCCCCTGGCCTGGCAGCTGGACAGAAATCCGTTGGTAGTTTACTTTGTTGATTTGTTTATAATGCAACCCATCCACTCATCTCCCAGATGAGGTTTTTTGAGGTTCATCTCTTTTTTTAAAAGCAATTTTACTATTACACATGCATGCCATTGTTCCCTTTGTAATTTTTTCCTGTTTGTGATTCACAGAATTCAGAATCTGCATCTTGTACTTGACTCTGGTTAGAAAAATCATCAGCCACCATCTCTTCAAATAGTTGCTTTGGCTTTATTTTGGCTTTCCTCTTTCCTGGTTCTCCAATTATATGCAGAAGTTACATTTTAAAATTCTTCCGTATAGTTCCCTCACGTACTTCCTGTAATTCTCCATCATTGCAGCCTCCCCAGCTGTAGTGTCAGTATTTGATACTGATTCTAACTTCATACATATATGTCCTGTGTACTCAGTGCATCTTAATTGTACCCCGTGTTGGACTCCACAGCGGCATCTTCATTCACGCACACAGCGTGCTCTGGCTGTGCCTGTGCCCCTTGGTGTGGATTCCTGTCCCTGCCCTGCCTCCTCTGACATGCTGACTGACGCTGACGCCCCTTCCTGCATGCTTGAATTCAGTTACCAGTTTGCAGTTTCACAACTGTATCTGAATTAATTCTCAGATTAACTCTTAGAAGAACTGAGAGTTCTTAGTGCCACGTCTTCCCTTCCTGAATATGACAGTCGTGGCTGTCTTATGACAAAATAACTCTACTACTTGGATCATCTTTATTTCTACTGCCTTGTTTTAGTGTTTCTGATATTCAGTCCTGGCTTTAGGCATGACTAGTATTTTTTTTAACCAGATAAATGTACTGTAGCATATGAAATGATAGAAATAATAAGTTATCACCCTCTAGACGTGACTTCATGATCTTCCATCAGACAGCTAGATTTGGGAAAGGCGTCTTGATCTAGCCACAGATCAAAATAACTCAAGCATGAACTTTAGTGTTGTGAGGGCTGGTTTGTTTCCTGTATTCTTAATTCTAGGTGTTTTTCCCCACAAATGACATCCTGTGGTGTTTATCAGTATCCCACACCTCCACTTTGTGGTCTCCTTTAATAACTAATAAACAGTTTGTCTTTTTAAATAGCTGAGTAGTACCCCATTGTACAAACACACCACATCTTCTTTATCCATTCCTCAGGTGATGGGCATTTGGTTTGTTTTCAAGATCTAGCTATGACAAATTGTGCTGCTACAAACACGGGTGCACATATATCTCTGTGGTATGATATTTTTAGTTCTTCTGGAAAAATACCCACAAGGGGAATAGCTGGGTTGAATGGGACCTCCAAGCCTAGCTTTTTGAGAAGTCTCCACACTGATTTCCATAACGGTTGCACCAGTCTATGCTCTCACCAGCAGTGGAGAAGGGTTCCTTTTTGCCTCAGCCTCTCCAGCGTTTGTTATTGGTTGACTTCTTGATGATAGCATTGTTTCTGGGGTGAGACGGAATTTCAGTGATGTTTTGAGTTTCTCAAATGACAAATGTGGTTGAACATTTTTTCATATATTTATTTGCCATTTTATTTCTTCCTCTGAGAAGTGTATGTTCATCTCAGGCTCATTTTTGATTGGGTCTTTGAATTTTGGAGGCTTGATTTTTAAAAATTCTTTATATGTTCTAAATATAAGAGCTATTTTTGAATTCCTACCATCTTGTTTACTGAAATTCTGTATCTTTAGAAAATTATTATTATTTAAAAAAAACATAAAAAGAAAGGATTTCTCTTACTTTCTAAGGGATGTTGTATTAGCTTGCTTCTGCAGCCCGAGGGGGCCTGCGCAGGAGAGCCCCGTGGCTGCCTCCTTGCCTGGTGAGCCCTCGGCGGCGTCTCAGCACCTTGGCCTGGGGTCTAAGCCCATACTGCGGAAAGCTCAGGAAGCAGCGCTCGGGCCGAGCAGGAAGGAGCTGGAGCTCTCTTCAGGCCTCATCACCCTGTCATTGTTGCGCTGCAGATCTTGGTTGCTGTGGTTTCTTCCCTCTATATTTTCTGCTTTTGATCTATTAATCAACTTTTAAAGTGAGTTTTACTAAGATGTTCTGATATAAACAACTGTCACAAACAAGTGGGAGAAGAAAAAGCCTTGCATATTTTAATAACATTTCGCAAGAACTGGTTGTTGACTGCTTTGATCCTTTGTAGTACTCCACGTATTTCATTTCATTTCATTTCCCTTTCTTTTTAAAATTTAAAAAAAACCCTGGTTTCTGATCTTGTCTTTATATATTTCTCTTATTATATATATTTCTTTATATAATATATTTCTTTTATTGTACTTTCAGGGGGTTAATTTTCTATCATTAAGGTTTAACAGACATTGAAATCTGAGTTTTGTGAGAAGCATCAGAGAACATTCCAGTCAAGGACAGATCTGAGCTGCGCTGCCTCCTTCATCTGCTAGCAGCACACAGTGTGTGTTTTCATTTCTTTCCAGGTGTACACAGTAAGCGGATATCCTGGTGTAAACTACTCAGAACCAGAAGTGGAAAAAAAAAAGATGTTTGTGCTTACTTAGCATTTTCCAAGAGTTGATTGTTGACCCTTTCGAGCCTTCATAGTGTGCACCACTTTCTTTCCTTTTTCCTGCTCCTCCTCTCTCCCCTCCCTCTCTGCCCCCCTCCTCTTTCCTGAAGACAAGCCCATGGTCTGCTCATGGAAGTCCTCAAGTTTATGAATTCTAACCATTCCTGCACCCTTCCGTAACCCTGCCCTCAGGAGTCCTCCTGACCCACTTCACCTGTGAAGCCCAGCAAGCATGCGCCTGTTTCCTGTTGGCAACGAACCAAGATTCTGCGCATCTTCTCTTAGTACGTTGAATACAGAAATTTAGAAATCTAACCATCCACAACATTGTAGCAGGACAGTAGATATGCAGCTGCTTTCTCTTGGTTCAGTGAGAAGAAAGTTTGAACTAATAGTGTTTGGACAGGATTTCATGTCTGTGTCTTGTACTATGAATAACTACTACAAAGACAACAATATGCAATGTATTAATTATTGTAACTGTCCTACTAACCTGTTTTGAAACTATCTCATTGCTACTTCTTTCTCAATAAAATTAGTACATATATATATATATATATATATATATTTTATCTATCTATCTATCTATCTATCTATCTATCTATCTATTGAGTAGTCCCAGCTTTTAGCAGTCACAGGCTTCCCAGGGGTGCTGGCATTGGTGCTTTGCCCTCGATGAAGCCTTGCGTAGATCCAGTGAGACCTGCCCCAGTTCCCCAGCTCCTGTTGCCAAGCTCAGCTCTCGTGAGCATGGAGCCTCCCAGCTGAGCTCTTCATTTGCCTAGGAGTCAAGTTCCCCTCCTTCAGTGTTCCCTGGGATCTGCCCTTCTTCCCCTTTTCCTGGCTCTTACCCACATTTTTATGTGTATGTAGGTTCACAGGGCAGGATTTCTGTGTGGATTTATCAGTCTATCTTCACCATATTAATGGATAAAAGACCTCTCATGAATATCCTTTCTAGGTAAATTATGTTGGCCATGCATTAGTGTCTTTAAAAAGTTACTAAAAATGAAACTTGCTCAGTCTTCATATGTACAAAATGGACTTGGGGAGGGATTTGCCCACACACTCCACCTTGGAGGGTACCGCTTTCTTGTGTCGGGTGGCTGGATCTGATTTTTCAAGATCAAACCTCTCCTGATACCCTCGTATCTTCTTATTTGCTTGTTGGTTGTTGACTGACTCCTCAGAAATTCTGTTCCCATCCCAGCGGCTCTGTGGCATGCTCCCCTTTCTGCTGACAGTGATTACAGTAATGACTTTTCAGTGTTTCTTATGAATAGATATGGACTACATTCCTCTGCTAGGCATCTAGTCTGGTAACTCTTCACATTTATAGTTAAAAGAGGTTATTTTGGAAGTACCATTAAAAAAGGCCTACCATTGAACCTTGATGGATATGATATTGCTAAAACCATCCTCACCTGTCTTTTGTGTCTCAAACTATAAATTTTGAAAAACTCCAAAAGATGAAGTCCCCCAATTGGCTCCACTGAGGTGACGCAGGCTCCTCAGAATCCGTAACTAGACCACTGCCACAAGAATCTACTGGAACAAAAATGTCCTTCCTGAAATTTTCTCTTGCATTGCTTGGGACATGCCTGTTATTATGATCTGTACCTTGATGTCCCCCAGAAGCCTTGTGTGCTCAGAGATGGGAAGGGGGCAGGGTCACAAGGGCCGTGTGGTGAGCAGGTGGGCCTGGTGAGAAGAGGTGCCACCAGGGTGTGACCTGGAAGGGCCCTCTCTGTCCCAGCTCGTGCCTTCCCTCTGGCTCCTGAGCAGCTTTCCCTCACCACACCCTTCCAGTACACCTTCCTATCTTGGAGTTGGCCAGCTGTGGGCTAACAGTGCTCTCCAGAATAAGCCTCTTTTCCTCTGAGTTTTGAAGAGAGCAGAGTGGATGTTTATTTTCAATCTATCACACTTTATCAGAAGTCCAGACTAACAACAACAAAAACATCCGCCACAACTCTGTGCTTACGATACTCGTACGTCTAGGACAATGAGCTCTGCCAGCCTGCTGTGCTTGGGTTTTCCTTTTAGAGCAGCTCTGTGTATTATGGTCATCTTCACACATCTTTGGTCTTAGTACTTGTATGAGTTCCTGAAGGGGGCGTTATAATGTGTGCATCGCTCTATTCCACAATGCTTGGTACGATGGCTGTCACGTCTATGGGCTCTCTAAGCCAGTAAAAGAAATGTGGGCCTCCGTCATCACAGAGTGCTGCTCAGAGGGTGCCAGTGAATCGGCTGGATTAACCCCCCTTCTCGCTGTCAAAGCACCACACACTCACCATGAACACGACGGTAGCTTCTTGGCATGGAGCGAGGTCTTTCGCGAAGCCACACAGGTAGTTTCTGTCGAGAAGGAAGCCGAACACGAGGAGGATGATTCCAAGCATGGCTCCCAGAATACTGAGGAAGTTCATTGTGCAGCTTGCTTTTATCTGAAACAGAATCAGAACACAGCACAGTGGCTCAGGCCTGGCCTGCACTGGAGATGGGGTAGTGGGTGGGAAGGTGGGAGAGCAGGGTTTAGCTGTGGCTGCACAGGGTGCCAGACCAGCTGTGTGGCACACACGAGTCACTTCATTTCTCTGGTCCACAGAAAGAGACCACTGACCTGTCAGCCCAGCAGTGGGAAAACTTTCTTAGAAAGCTGAAGCTGCCACATCAAACCCACTTACTTACCTGAGAGTGAGAACCCTGCAATTCATCCCGAATACTGAGATTTTACTCCTACATTACCAGAAAAACACAATAATTGAGTTTTCCTTGGTACCAACAGCCCACTGCAGCATGCGTGCCGTGGGTTTGCCACCAGTCTTCTGTGCTAAGTGAGCACCCATTCAGATCAGGAGGCGGTGGCCAGAGTGGGGGGGCACACAGGTGGACGCAGACGTGGCTCGCAGCACTGCAGCGTGATGCAGGCAGTCACGGCCGGCCTACTTACCTTTGTGTTCTGCTAAAGTGTTGTGCTTCTCTGCCATTTTTATTTCATCCTAAAACTGCACATGTTCTTTGCTGAAAATTGTTAGCTGATGCCTTTGATTCTTCAAGTAAAGTAGAAATGTTCTACTTAAATTATTTTATATTTGGAGAAAGTATGCACTGCATTGCTAGATTCCACGTGTGTGTGTGTGTGTGTGTGTGTGTGTGTGTGTGTGTGACTGAGGATTGATCCCAGGGCATTTACACTGTGATACATCTCCAACCCTTAAGAAAAATTTTGTTGTGAGACAAGATCTGTGTAAATCACAAAGCTGTCCTCTTGCTTTGGCCTCCCAGCGTGTTTGGGATCATAGATGTGGACTCCACACCCAGCTCCATTTCTGGCTTAGTGAGGGTACCCCTTCTTGTGAGTCACCCCTGTTCCTCTCCAGTGTCTGATGTGTAGTTGGCACCAAAAATACTCTGGAAAGCAAGAATAAGTAAGAGAATGGAATACTGAAGTTGGTTCTTCCATGCAGTGACTGGGGAACTTGGACAAGACATGTAACTGTTCTGTGTCTTCACAGTAAGAATTAACAGTTTTCTTGCCCTAATGGTTGATATGAAACTAGAGAGCAGATACCATTGATTGGTCAGAATATGTGATAGGTTGTGGAATTGTGGTGGTTTCATGATTTTCCAAGTTCATTTTCAAGGCTAGAATGGATTACTTCTAAGTTTTAAATTTCATTTTGTTTTTGTTTTTTGAGACAGGTTTTGCTATATAGTTCAGGCTGCCTGTGAACTCAGTATGTAGCCCATGCTGACCTTGAACTTTCAACAATCCTCTTGCCTCAGTCTCCTGAGTGCTGTGATTACAGGCGTGTGCCACCACACCTGGTCAAAGTTTTACATTTGTAATAAAGTTGAAACAGAACTCACCATTGTTCTTGTGGTTTTTCTCTTCAATGCAATTAGGAAAGCTCCAGAAGCAATGAACTGTAAAAAAGAATAAAACTCTTCATGTTGGGCCAGTGCTGCACTGGGGTCAAGAGTGTCCCTCTGGATGGGCTCTGCCTGTCTTCCGCCATGCTCTCCTTTGGAATCCCACTGCCCTCAGGTAGGTGGAAGCCTGAGCTGCCTTGTGGCTGTCCAGGAGTAATCAGTGCACTAAACACTGGGCTGGACATCTGCTTTAGCTTTTAGCTATTTATTGGACTATGAAGAAAAGCTTTCACCTCATTGGACTTCTGTTTCCTCATCCTCCCTTTTATGGCTATTGTGGCCTGGACTTTGACACACCATTGTCGAAGCGGTTTACAGCCCCTAGGGCTGGATCCCACCCCTTTACCATACTCCAGTTGTCCTTTTTGTTGGGGCTGAAGCTAACATGCTTCTAACTCTGAGGAAGCTTCCAGAATTTTTACAGACGAAAGTAAAACATGCAAATATCATTGTGTGAAACTCTGTATTTGACCCCTGCCCTGCCACTCTTCAATTTCTAGCTCTTCTCCTGGCTTCTCTCTTGCTGCCTCCCCTGACCCTCACTCCTCTGCTAGACTTCTGCAGTTCATAGCATGGAAAATGCTCTCCTGAACCTTCAGGCTTTTGCTCATTCCCTGTTCCCCCAGATCCTCCTAGTGTAGGGACTCATTGGTCTTTTGTGGTCCCTGGGAGAAAACGGTGGGAAGAATTAGAAAATAAAGACAACAGGTAATAGGGGAGGTCAGGTGGAGGCCTGTTTGCCTAATGGAGAAAGGACCTCAACGAAACAGTAAGAGAGTTACTTATACTCTTATAAAGTTAGTATCATGAGACACAAGGTTACCTAGCAACTAATGGCTGAAATTGTCCAGGCAGGATGCTTTTCTCAAGACTGCAGTAGCTTGAGTGCTTTAGGCACTGTGGCCTTGTCCTGCCTGCACACATATGACCAATTTCCAGCTTCAACCACTCCTGACACCCTCCCCTTGTCCCTGGACACTCATTCCCATCCTCCACCCTTACCTCACAAACCACACATCTTTTAAAGTTCAGCCAACCCAGAAATGTCTCTCGACAGCATCACTTCCCCTGGGGCCTGTCTACAGGAAAGCCTCTGGGCCCCTCATCATTAATCACTGCAACCTGTGGTAGTCGACTCTCCACTCATTCGAGCTGCCAGAGATGGCCTTTCCTTGAATCCCAAGCCCCTCCTCCTCCTGGCACTGGGTAGCTGCTGAGTCAGTGTTTATTACATGGACTAAATGTGCTCAGATATGTGGCTCTGTGTGCTTAGATGGGACCTCTTGGGAAGCTGCCCTGACTCTCCACTGTTCCAATGTGTAAGTTGCTCCTTTGTCCCTGTTGCCTATGCACTTCCTACACCTCAGTGTCATCCCTGTCACACTGCCTTGAAATGGCCTGTCCATATATTTTGTTTCTTGATAGAGTAAGAGCCCTTTGCAAGGTCCTTACTGTGCTCATTCTGTGGGTGTGTGCTAGGATATACAGCAGCTAGAGTAGAATGAGTTGGTGAGTAAACAAACAACCGTAAGGCCCAAAGGAATATTCCCGAGAGAACTTTACGACCCAGTGATGGGACATCTTTATCTCTAGTGAATTAATGATGAAATGATTTCAGCAAGAAAAGTTAACAGTTTTTGTGCTTTTCAGAGCATATCATACACCTGCCTCTGTCTTATTTCATAGCTAGGAGTTCCCTAACATCCACTGGCATGATTTCCAGTTGGACTGGGTGGACTGTACTTACCAAAGCAGAACCCCAGAACGGGTACCCTGTAATGATCACAAAGGGAAATCTTGGATATGGCTCGACCAAGGTGAAAAGGAAAACAATTCCAAAGGAAAAAATCAGAATTCCAAGGATGACCTGGGTAGCCTGTGAACAGAGAAGAAGGTCACGGCAAGTACAGCGTGGGCGGTTCTCTTCTGCTCCGGTCACCCAGTCAGTGGAAAGCCAGCAGCAGCCCCGTGGAGACGCTCCAGGTATTTCTCACCCCCCCCCCCCCGCTGACAGTGGGCAACAGGGAAAACAACCTACATCAGTGCTCCTGAGAATGCACACTGGGCCAGCAGCACAGGCCCGCGTGGGAGATCGCTCAGGCGTTGGGCGGTGATCCACACTGTGACTGGGACCACGAGGTGCAGCGACATGTGCCACGCTCTCCAGCTCTCCAGCTCCCAACTGTGACCGTCCCAGGGGCACTGAATGCTGAATCTCTGCACCCGCCTTGCCAGTCACAAGCCCTGCTGGAGGCAGACGCCAGTCCTCTGCACTTCCAGGCCGACGTCTTTCCTGCTGTCCCGGGGGGTTTTGTGTGTTTCTCCCAGCGTCGCGCTGGTGATGTCCTCAACACTAGGCAGCGTCTCGACACGTGCTGGAAAGATGGGTGGAGTGATGTGGAAGAAGAACGAGCTGTACAAGAGCATTTCTGCGGAGGGTCAGAAAACATGGTGCGCATCCAAGTGAAGCACTTATTTTCATGTGTCTGCAAGTCCTTTTTTGTGACTTCAGTTTTGCTGTGGCTGCCTTGATGTTCTTTTTTAAAACGTATTTTAGTACGGGGCCGACAGGGTCTCACTACACAGATTGGACTCATGGTGATCCTCCTGATTTCAGCCTCCCAAGTGCTGGGATTACAGGTGCGCGCCACCACGCCCAGGCTCGGTCGCCATCTGAGCGCACAACATGCCGTGCCTTGATGCTCTGAATGGATTCACAGTGCTTTCCTTTCATGGTCCTTCTGACTCTGAGGGAAAGCCAGAGTCACACAGTGCTAGATCTGGTGAGCAGGGTGGAGGAGCACACAGCATCGTGTCTTCCAAGCTGCCTCTCTGTTGGGTAACATGCAGCGGCATTCGCAGACCTCTTGATCACACCCTTTCTGTGAGGATGCTGCAGAAACACCCCTCCGGAGCTGCTTCAGGACCTGGCAGCAGTAGTGGGAGCAGCGCGTGCTAGGTGAGGGGAGGACCTCGAGCGGGCGAGGGGCGAGGTGCGTGTTGCTGTATTTGAGCATTCCCTTCTATATGCTGACCACCTCTTCTATGTTTTGCCCTTTGATTTTCACCCTTTTACTGTGAATAATCTCATTTTTGCCATGCCAGCTGTCACCCACTTGGTAGATGACTCCGAAGGGGTGTCATTTTTCAAGTCTAGACCCACAGATTTACCTCTTGTCAAACATCCTCCCTTGGATGGTCCATTAATGCCTCCTATGCAACAGGCCTAAACCAAGCTCACCTTCTCCCTTTAACCCCAATCTTCTTTCTTGATTTCTTGATCTCTGTTATTGGCATCATCATTATCTTAGGCTTGAAATATATATATTTTTTGTGCCAGGAACCGAACTCAGCAACTTGCAGAAAATAGTGTATATCTATCTTAACTATTTGGTATATGCAGATACAAAATGGTTCTTCATTTGTGTCCCCTTTTTTGTTTAGTTTTGTCAGAGATGGGTATTCCCTTGCCATTTAAATATTGTAGGTGTGTGAATTCAGCAAAATAATCCAATATAGTCCAGTAGTCCATAATAGTAGCGGGTTATTCATAGGACTGGCAATGTCAGAAGTTGTTGACTTGAGCCTTTTATAGCTCAGCATATTAATATGGCTTTACTTTTTATACCTTGTTTTTATACTTTTCTGCTAGATGGTGAAGACCAAGATAAAGCAAGAAGATCGTCTCTGTTCTCTAAAGACTTGATCTGGACAACCAAATGTAGTAGCCAACTTTCTCATGATTTCTACTTGAAAAATCATAAATATTTGACTTTTTAATTTTCTTTCATGTCAGCGTTGGGACACTTGTTTAATAATTTTTAAGTTTCTCCTCTAGGTCCATATGTAGGTAGAAGTATCCTGTCATTTCTGTATTCCTCTATCTAGCATTATTGACTTTTAAAGAAGAACTTGATGGTGACATTGCCAGTCCTACAGATAACCTACTACTAGTATGGACTACTGGACTATATTGGATTGCTTTATTTTGCTGAATTCATGCTCCTACAATATTTAAATGCAATGGAATACCCATCTCTGACAAAACTAAACTAAAAAGGGGGTACAAATGAAGGACCATTTTGTATCTGTACATACAAAATAGGATAGATATACAGTTACTTTCTCTTAGTTCAATGAGAAGAAAGATTTGTACTAATAGTGTTTGGACAGGATATCATGTCTGCATCTTGTGCTGTAACTACTATGAAGACAATAATATGCAATGTATTAGTTATTGTAACTGTCCTACTAACCTGTTTTGAAACTGTATCATTGCTATTTGTTTCTCTATAAAATTAATTAAAAAATAGAAGCTAAAAAAAAAAAAAAGAATTGGAGAAATGAGAGCCCCATCCCCATACCTGCCTTAGTGGAATATACACAGGGGGAGTCTTACTTACCCCTAAGATATTCATTTTTGAGGTAAATAATTTCTGCATGGAGTCGTGGTACTCATAGATTATGCTTCTTAGTTCTGCAGACTGATATTGTGGATCAGTGACTTCTGGGGGAAATAACAGAAATACGGGGCTCTGCGTGTCGCTGGAACCCATGCTGAAAGAGAGTGCTGGTGATTGGTGATCGGTCTAGACCATGTTCTTGTCTGACGCCAAGGCTGCCAGGAGCACAGCCATTGTTATGCTTTGGCTTAGAATGGTGGAATTCTAGAGTCACAGACTGATAGAATCTCAGGATGGGTCAAGGGCCAGCAAGGTAATGTGCAGTGCCCATGACTACAGGCGGGAATCGCTGGCTGGTAGCTTTTGTATGGTCAGGGGCACACTAAGGCCCTGGGCAAGATGTATGCCCTGCTGCTTTCCCCTTGCTCCTGCATACAGGGGCCACTCTGGCATAGAGGAGCAGTTTTGTTTCCAAGTGAATGGGAAGTGGAATTTTCTATCTTCAAACAAGCAGAAAACCAAACATCTCAGGCCATAAAACTAATCAGCTGGCTTTTGAATTACACAGTAGGCACCCATGTTGGCTGTCACTTTTTTTGGTTACCTAGTTTGAGTAGCTTCACCTGTGCAGCCGACCTCCCTGAAACGCAGTGGCTTCAAGCCACCTCAGTTCTGTTGACACTTCCATAGGACACGGGTGGGTTCCGCTCTGCTCTCCCTCAGCTGACTTCTGCCTGCTTCTCTTGTCTAGGGCCCCTGGTGGGTGTCCAGGGTCACGTGGACTAAGATGGCGTCTAAGTCCCTTTCTTGTTGCTGAGGCCCAGTACCTGCCACCCACACACTGAAGGACGGGAGGTTTATTGAGGCCCATCGTTCATAGAGGGCTCAGTCTGTACAGTCAGTTGGCTCCACGAGGTGGCAGCATAGCAGAGGGGCCTGGTGGAGGAGAACAGCTCACGGCACTGGTGCTGGAAGCAGAGAGAGATCAAGGTAGGGAGAAGGGAGAGAGACGCTTCCAGGCCACACCCTGAGGGCCTGTCTCCTCTGACCAGCTTTATTTCCCACACCAAACTTAGCCATGAACTCACCTGTAGCTAATCCACATTGATTTCATGCCTCTGAGACCCAGCCGCCTCCCCAGAGCCCCAGCTGTGAATGCATAAGCTTTAGGGGACATTCAGACATAAGCCACAGCAGATGGCCCCATGGGAGATCCGGAAGTTGGCAGACTCTTGGTCTTCCTCCAGTAGCAAAGGCTCTTCACACCTTTGCTTGTTAGTCACATGCTAGTGTCCCCTAGGGCTTAAGCAGATTCCAGAGGAAGTTCAGACCCACTGGGGAGGGAAATAGAGGAGGCTGTGCTGCCAACTTGCAAGACCTCGAGTGACCAGAAGGGGGGAACTTGCACCTCATTCTCGGGTCGGCCTTGCCATCCTCTGGTACTTCCTGCTGAGGTTAGATTTTCTCAACTGGACTTGTGCTGCGAGGAGCTTCTAGGCACTTGCTAGTTAGGACATTCAAGAAGACCACCCGTGCCTTACAGCTTCCTCTGCTGGACAGACACCTGTCTGGTTCAGTCTGCAAGGACACAGAGTCCTGCCGGTTATCGTCCCTCATGAGAGGTGCCTGACGCCGGGCCGTGCATGCCGAGCTGAGCAGAGTCTGCTCCAGAACGCTTGCAGCGTGCCGTTTCTCCTCCCTCGTCCCTCCTAATCGAACTTAGCTCCGGACAGTTGCCCATGTTGCTTCTCCCCTGTGAGCCTGATGACCAGGATCACACCCTCACAGCTCTCTGACCAGTGGAGAGTTTACTGTGCTTCAGTTATGCAAGCTGATTCTGGTGGTGCGCCGAAAAGATCATCCTTGGATTGTAAAATCCTAGCGTTAATTCCGAGGTCTTTTATGTACTAGTGTAGCATTTCACCCAAGGTATCTGTTAACGCACACATTTGTATAAGCTTTAGTATTTATTAAAACATTACATCTATTATATGAAATAGTAAATATCTTGTTGAGTTATTTTGAGTGAACTAGAAAGTTCTTGGCCTGTACTAGATGCTAAATAAAGTGTACTACTAGTACAAATAACAACAATAAGCATGGTTCTCTTATTCCTATCATTCTAAGCATGGTGGTTACCCTGTTTGCTCTAGGTTTGCATTTTTTCCAAGTTGATTTTCTTTGGTTCTTCATCAGCTATATGCATTTCCATGAGTTTAAATAAGAACCTTGAAAATGTCACTCTGAGTCAGTTCCGAAGTGATTTCACCTTATTTCTATAGTTCCGCGTGGCTGGGGCAATCTGTGACTTGTTGCTCATCAATCCCCTGGGCCTGTGCACACATTGATGAGTCTGTTTACTACTTTTCTTTATTTCTATATCCTTAGATTTCTTTTTTTTTTTCCAATGTGCCCAAACCTACTCTTTTCATAGGAACTCATCTCATCTTAAGTGCTTTGTGGATGAATACATCGTATTTTCATATTACTTAATGTTTCCAAGTCAAGATTTTATTTCAAGATTTTAATTTCAAGCTCTTCCAGGGCTGTTACCAAGGTTCAGGAGCTTGGACCAAGGGCCCTAACGCACAGTGCAGGGCGCTGAGCCTTTCTTTGCACTCTCTTGCTGGCTAGTTTCAAAGAAAGGGTCTTGGCATTCTTTCTGCTGTTCCACCTGCTCAACACTACTTTCCTTTGCTCCTTAAGTTGCAGGTAGCACTGGCCCCGGATCTTTCTTCCTGATGATGGTGGTGAGTCCTCGATCCTGCCCAGCTATGCTTGGAAGGGATGAGCGGACCCGACGGAAGCGGAGCACTGGGGCGTCAGTTTTGCCAACTCTCAGACTCCAACGGCCTGCACCTACTGCCTTCTCAGTTCCTCTGTGTCCAAGCTCCTGTGTGGGCTAACTTCCTGCTGTGTTTGCGTGGGGTTTATCCTGACTTCCCACTACTCCAAAGTAGCAATAATACAATGTTTCTGGCACAGCTCACTTTAAGAAATAAGGACAGTCAACATTCTTACAGCCCCTACTAAGGCAGGCTGTGTCTTCAGACATAAACTCTCTAATCCCTATTTGGCTTATAAATACACACTAAGTGTCCCCTTCGAGATGACTCTGGGATCTTACCCTCTCTTACACTGACCTAGAAATCTAAAGAAAAATAGTGAGCCAATCCAGTTTCTCTGTGTGTGGACAGACCTGGGGCTGCAGAGGCCATGGGGCACCATGGCTGCCCTGACGACAGAGGTGGAGGCATTGTGCTCCTGCAGACAGGTGGGTTTTCTGTGCCCTCACTCTCTTCTCGGCCCACAAGAACAAAGGGTGAGTGTGAGTCCGCTTCGGGCCTTGCCATTTCCTTCTCCACACAGACTTGCCCGGGGGAACGCCCTCCACTGACTGGAAAAACCTAAATGCAGTGGGCAGCCGGCTTCCTGAGACAGTGAGGGGTAAGCGGGCCACAGGCCAGCACTTCGACTTCACAGGCGACGTGCACAGGTTGTCATAACAGACAGTAGACTCAGCACTGCCATCAGAATAGCCTGACATACAGAAACATTTAGGGTTCACTGGTTTGTCATGTGGTGCTAGGAGAATAGGCAGCCATCTTCCTGAACTTTTACTTGGTTGATATCAGCAAAAAAGTCCAAGGCAGAACAGAAGTTTAAGCTGAGTCACAGAAACAGAGCCACAGCTCTTCAGTTCTCAGATCTGAGCCAGTTTACAGAACCAGAATCTCTTGCGTGTAGGAGAGCGGCTTCTCATAAGGATGGACCTCAGCCTGTTACAAAAACTGGACCATGCTGCCCTTCTTCCTGGCCCACTTGACAAGACCTGCAGCCTTTTCATAAGGACAGCCCTAAGGTAGGGAAGAGGAAGCCACCGTGCCTTTTGGGGAGCGCAGGACTCAGCCCTAATGATCCTAATGTCAGCACATGCACACTCCCACTGCGGCCCGCGAAGCAGCGAAGCTTGTGGAGGCAGAGCGATGAAAGCTCAGAAGAGCCCAGTGGGTCCCCAAGCCCAACCTGGGGTCACGTGCACTTTTCCAGAATACATAATTGGTGTACTCAGAGGCTAGGAGAACGTCCATCTGTATCCCTGACCTGTAGACTATGCATGTTAATGGTGACAAAGGCCACGCAGAAGTCACTGGAATGCCTCTGTGCAGGACAATGGCAGACAAAAACAATGCCAGGTTTTGGAGGCACGGCCCGGACCAGTGACATCATCTTTAACTTGAAATGCACGAGAGTGATGATTCCCACCACATCTCCACTGAGCCTGTCTCCTTGGCCTGCACAGAAGACTGTAGGCTTCAGAGAAAGACAGTGGATTCTTATGAACCTAGCCCGGTGATTGCTGCAGTTGCAGCTGCTGTGTCAGATGTGGCTTCGTTATTTGAACAAGCTAATACATTCCTAGAATCTGGCACAAAGCTATGGATCTGGCCAATGCTAATTTTCTTGGTAGTGTTGTGCTTTCAACTGGTGAGGCCAGCAGTGCACCTTCACTGTCACAGCCCAGGGCATACGGAGCCTGCTGCCTTGTGTCTTAATTGAGTGCCTAAAGGTACTGATCGCCTTCCCTTCCCCTAGCACATCACCGAGCACTCCCTCATGGGCGATGTCGTAGCAATCGGTCCTCGGGACCAAGGAGTAGCCACTCCGGATTGATTAGTTAATAAGCCATTTGCATGCTGAGTACAGGATGCAAACCTGATGCAGGCTCAGTGGTATCTGACCTCAGTTACCTTTCTCAGGGCCCGGCAGTGGGGAGCGACATCAGTCATCCTTCTAAGGTACAGAAGGGTGAGCGGTTGCGTCTGGCTCTATATGCAGCCAAGAGGATCCTAAACCACGTGGTCAGATAGAGTCACAGAAACAACTTACTTGCCAGGTACCAAATTCTTAATACTTTTCTTATTGCAGAGACAAAATACATGATTCCAAAGCTAAAGGGAGAAGGCTTTGCAGAGCTTTCAGGCCATAATCAGCAGGCTCTAAGACAGGGCGGCCTGGCCAAGGAGAGTGGCTCAAGGCAGGCAGTGTGCAGCAGCGCAAGCAAGAGCCTTCATGGCATTGTCCCTCCCCTTTTATCTTACCCAGATTACCAGGATTATGGTGGTGACAAACCAATCAGTGGGCTGATTTACTGATCACACACCCTTAATCCCAGCATCACACCCTCCAGATCTAACTGCCCCTGAAAAGCCCCACTGGTGACTGCATGAGGCTTTGAGGGTACCTCTAGACCCAAAGCATAATAACACTATTAAACTCAGTGGGAACACTTCAGCATTTATTTCAGACAAACAAAATCTTATTCTCACACAAAAACCTATACATGAATATTTATACTATTTTTATTCATAATAGAAAGTCAGGAAAAAATTTAATTTTTTAGTTTTAGTTTTTCTGAGATAGGGTCTCACTATATAGTGCAGGCTGGCATTGAACTTGCTTATGTAGCCAGGCAGGTCTCAAACTCCTGGAGATCCTCCTGCCTCAGCCTCTGGGGTTCTGGGATTATAGACATGTGCCGCAACAGCCAGCTATAAGTCTTTCAATAATTGTAAGCTGATTCTGATATGTTGATACTGTGGGCTGTTCCTCAGTAATTGAAAAGAAAACACCTATTGATGTACTATAGCTAAAGCACAGGGTCATGTACTTAGAAGAAAAAGGTTGTAAATACTAAAAATATTTAATCTCAAGGGGTTGAATATTGCACGCTTCCCTCCCTACACTATTCTTGAAGTGGCGGAGGTGGGCAACAGATTAGGGCTTGGTACGGACTGAGGTGGGGCTGGGGCCGGGGTGTTGGCCTGAGGAAACGGTGTGAAGGAGTTTTTGTGGAGGTGAGAGTTTTCTATCATGATTCACTGATGGGTATAGAAGTACGTGCATAAGCGATGACTGTGTAGAGCCCCACACCGGTGTGGGCACGGATGTGGGATAACGAACGGTGCAACAGAATGAAAGCTGTGAGTGGGCCAGGGTCACCTTCCTGGTTCTGATGCTGTGCTGTGGCAGGACAAAACGGTACCCCTGTGGATGTGGGGTGAAGGGTACAGGGTGGAGGGTACGGGCGGAGGCAGAATTCTGAGTGAGTCTATGTTTAGTTCAAAATGAAAAAAGAAATAATGAGGAAAGCTGTGCATTGTTTAAAAATAAAAAGCACACACACGTACACACATGCACTCATTTTCTTCATTAGAAAAGAATCCACAAAACAGATCTTACATAGATCAAAATTAATAAATGTGCTGTACTTATGCACAGAGAAGAAGGGGAGGAGAAGCTCCTGGAACGTATCTATGTTTACATCCTTCAAAACAAAAGAGGCAGCAAACGAAATCAATGCTGTACAGTGTAAATTTAAAAGCGCGAGTAGAACCCAGGTCGGGGCGAGCTCAGTCCTCGGGCGGTGGGGAGCACGGGCAGGTCCGGCAGGTCAAGCCCAAGGGAGTCGCAAAACAAGCCTGAGAGATGGGTTTGAAAATGGGTGGGGCGTTTGGGGTTGAAAAGGAGGCAGGCAGCAAATGAATAATTGATCAGGTAATTCATTCCAGGGAAAAGAAAACCCTGCCTGGGAGGAAAAGTTCTAAGCTTCTAGAAATTGCAAGAAAAAGGGATAATTATCTTTAAAGAGGTGCTTGGGGAAAAAAAATTGAAAAAGATTGAGTAGGTTTGGGATGTGGAGGGTAGGTAACAGGCTTCAAGAAAACGAATTTTTGACTCCAGAAGTTGCGATCATAAGGGTTGGGAGGCGAGGGGCGGTGAGTGGAGGCCCTGGAGGCGAGGCCCTGACACTTTAGGGCTTGGCAGCTCTTGCACCTCCCACCTCCTTCCCTGTCTGCCATCAGGCAGCGCGTCTCCTTCCCCTTCCTGCACTGCTGTGTGTCCTTAGGGCCACCCTCTGCTCCTTACACAGACCTGGGGCCTGCTCTCAGCTGAGCGCTGGGGAGGGAAGGATGAGTGGGGGGAGCCTAGGGATGGCGGTGGCGTTTCCTCCGCACTGACGTTTGGTTCTTGAACTCTTACACAACCTGGATATGGTTCTTCTTAGCCGATTTGCTGCCGTGTACTGCAACACAGAGAGGGGAGCAAACTGTCAACACCACAGAAAGTAGGTCTGTGAAACGCCAGGCTGTGAAATGAATTGGCGCTCACAAACAGAAGCACTAAGCTTGGTGACAGAGTTCATGTGTGATTTATTCCTTTGCCCCCAACCAAGTCCTGATACCCTGTTTGTGTTTGGTTTGTTGACGAGGCATGTCGATCGAGGATGGATTCGTGGAGGGCCCTGCGTGTCTACCACGCAGGAGGTGTTAGCGATGATGGAGAGCGGCGTTTCAGGAGGGTGACTGTTTCTTTCACTTGCTTCTGTTGTGGGAGGCTGCTCTGCATGCTAGTCAGACTCCTCCGACTGCTGTGGCTCACCATTTAGAGAGCAGGAGGGAGACTGCATGTTCATGTCATCCTTGGTTGACCCTGAGCAAAGGGAAGTGTTTTGTTGGACCTCTTGTTCTGAATCCTTGTTAGATAAACACGTTAAATATGTTTCTTGGACACCACTTTGGCTAGAAGAAGGATGGTCGTCTGGTTCCGTGTCTTCTGATTGCGTGTCTGTTGGGTTTTGGTCTCTACGGTCCACGCCTGCTAGGAGGATGTCTCGCGTTTGCACACTGCCTATCTGCGCAGCATTAGTTAGCATCATTCTGGATTGAGAATCTTGATCCTCCTCCTGGAACTGCTTGTATTGAAGCTGCCAGCCCAGGTCACGTTGGGCTGGAGCATTCTGGGCTTGGACTTCTGGGTACAAACCCTTCTGTTTTAGGGATTCCTGTATGAAAGATGACGAGTCTGGGGCTGATCGGTGTGGAGCTTGCTTTGCTGTGCTTTGGGAGTCATGGTATGGCTGCCCTGGGACATCCTCCCCTTGAGTTCGTGGTCCTTCAGCTCGCCAACCTCTGGCCTGGCCTTTGGGGGGCTTGTCCTCCTCAGCTTGTTGACCAGGGGCTTGCTTTTTTGCAGACTGCTCCTTTTTAGCCTGCTGATCTTTACTTTCTTTGCCTCTGAAGTTCTGCCATGGAGACCGCTCCGCTTTGGCCTGCCGATCTTCCACCTGCGAGTCTAGGAACTGTTCTGAGGTTTGAGTATATTGGGACTTCTTATTTATGGTATGCTTCTTTGAGAATAGGAAGCTTCTGATTTTCTGCTCTAGGGATTTCCGTCTTGCAGATTTCCTCCGTTTTACTTGCGGGCCTAAGGAGCTGCTCCGTGGGGAGTGCCTGCCTATGCCTCTGTGGTCTGAGGAGATCCCTCCTGTGGATTGCCACTCTTGGGTCAATTCCAGGACTTCAGTTAGAATGTCTTGATATATAATTTCTGACCGCTGGCTTTGAGCTTCAATTCTTTGTTTCTTAAAACCTGATGGTACCTGAAGTAGGTATTCAGTATTAGGGGACTTCACAGGATGGAATGCTGAGGCTTCTAGCATGTCTTGTGCTGGCCCTGCTTGGGGTGGTTTATCTTGTGGGGGTTTGTCTTTAGGGGATGAGTTTTCACTGATCCAGTTAGAGGACTCTGTGATACGGAATAGAGGGGATTTGGAGTGCATGCCTTGTACTGGTGAGGCCTTCATTAGCAGAGCTTTGGTTGGCAGGGCTTCAACTGGGAACACAGAGAGAACTTCTGCAGTTGGGGACGGAAAAGCTTGCAAGGGCAAGTCCTTGTCCCAAGCCCTCCGAGCTTGCTCTTTGGGGCTGTGTACAATAGCGTATTTTAGGTCTTCTTCACTCAGTTGTTTCACTGTAGAGACTTGGTGAGCGTGTACGTTTTGTGGCAACCTTGCTTCTGATGTGGAGAGTAAGGGTTTCAGTCCAGTTTTTGCATTGGAGAATTTAAAGCGTGAAGAGATGTTTTCCTGCTCTTCATTTGGAGAAGGTAGAGCCCTTTCCCTGTTTGGCTGTGAGCCGTGTAGGCTGGAAAAACTTTTTGAGTGTCTTAACTGGAAGAAAGCATAGCCTCCGAAGAAAACAACTTTCGCTTGTGGTGGTACATCAAAACTGTAAGGCTCTTTCTGATGATCAGATTGCAGCTGAGCATTCTCTTCCTGGGCAGGCTGCTCCCTGCTTTTAATAATATCTGTAGGCAAGAAAAACACAACCTAGAAAACCAAGGAGGGAGGGGAATGTTAGTACAACGGAAGCATCTTTGATGTTCTTTTCTTCTTGTAGTATCAAATTAGTGTTCATTCTGACTTAAGAAAGGGAGTAGAAGAGAACACAGAGACAAGGAATCAGTGAAAATTCCTGCCAAAACATGAATTGATAACAATGAAATCATTCAGCAGCTGCCATTACAGAAATAGACACTGAGCGCTTTATGGCATGGGCGGCTGAATTCTGAGCAAGCTAGAAAGCTTCATAGAGGAAGTGGCGTTTAGTCTGCCCTTATGAGCAGGGATTCCCCAGCCTAGAGGGAAGGCGGACTGAGACCGGAGGTGGAATCCAGGGAGCGGAAGCAGCGGGCACAGGGTTGGGACAGGGTCAGCAGCTAGACGCTGTTGGAAGGTGTGTGAAGCTGGGGCGCTGAGCTGAGCCAGGACACTGAGATTGTCCTTGCAGAGCAGCGAGCTACTGGAGTCTTCGTGTAAACAGCTCAAGGACCCGTACAATCTTTTGTCAGTGCTTCCTAGTTTTCCCAGGATGTTCTCTTTGAGGGTGTTGTCACTGTAGTCTACCCTCTTAATTTTAATCAGTGTGTTCCCTTTCAGAGGTGGTTCGGAGACCCACACTCTGTTCTACTTGTTGAGGTGCTTTGGACTCAGTGACTAATTGAGTTCATGAGTTCATGTAGGCCTTAGCAGACGGGGCTACACGGGCACCCTGAACACTCCACTACCCTGTGCATTGCTGTTCCTCACCCTTCTAACTTGTTTCCACACATGTCTTATCAAAGACTTTGTGTGAAGATCCATAGCATCCTGGGGGAGGTGTCTGTGGTTTCACTGTCCCCAGTTTTTCTTTTATTAGAATTGTAACATTAATTATTTTTTTATTTTTTAGTGATAAAATTTAAAAAAAATTAAAGAATACAAAATACAGTGGCTGGGATTTGATCCCAGGCCTGCAGTGTCGGCCCCACCCCTGGGGCGTGCTGAGATGGCGATTAATACTGGGCATGGTGGCGCACGCCTGTAATCCCAGTGTGTAGGAAGCTGTAAAGAGGAAGATCACTATGAGTTGGATCTATGTAGTGAGACCCTGTAGACCCTGTACTGACTATATATATAAAAAAATACAAAAAACCCCAGCATTAGGAATGATACAAAATTTCACTAAACTAAGTAATAGGAATTCACCAATGGATGCTGTATTGCATGATGTTATCTTCAAATTAGTTGTTTAGATTACCAGGTATAAACGTTAATTTCTTAGAGAGTTTGAGAACATGAATTACAATTTCTCTGACAGTGCAAGCGATTTTTCCATTAAGTGCTATGATTTTAAATTTTTTCCTCCTCAATGATAACTAAGCTGTTACTAGGTAGCCAATAAGTTCAAAACCATCGATGTAATTGTTTCCAATGGCTCTGAGGTTCTCATCCTGGTTTTACAGAAGAGGGAGCTGGAATGGAGTTGTCAACTTTTGGGGCCAGGGTTCCCACGTTGCCCCGGTGTGCCGCCTGCTGAGCTTTCCTCTCTAATCGATGCCGTCTTAGGGTGACGGCTACAGCTCCTCTTCACGATGGTTGGCTAGAGATAGTGTGCAGTGCTGCTATTAAACGCAGTGGTTGGCACAAGCAAATGTCTCAGGAAACTCCAAGAATTCCTTTTTACTTTCCTTGTCTTGCAATCCAGGGTCATGTCTTTGAACCTCCTGTTGCACTTTGCTATGCTTTAATAGATGAAAAGCCCTACTCACTGCACTCTGTTGAATAATGATTTAGTGTAATTTATTTTCATAGTCCTCCTAAGGGCTTTGTGCACTTCTGTAGTTGAATGTGATATACAGGTAGCAGAGGTGAATCATACTGGAGATGCTCTGAGGAAATCAACTGTAAGCACAGCTAACTGGAAAAGGGGGTGCGGCATACATCCCGATGCCAAAGCCAATCTGGAATAAGAGACTTTCAGGTAAAACAACACGTAGACGTAGGAGTTTATAAGATACAGATAACATAATAAAGATGTAAGCATGCAGTGAAAGATCTCTAACCCAGGACCCATTTGTGATAGAAAAAACTCTGTGCAAATTATGGTCAACTTTCACTATGGAAGACCTCCTAAAAATAATGCTATCTACAGGAGTACAGCATTCAGCTTTTTCACCCTGAGATTGGAACAAAATAAGTATGGTATACTCAGCACCTCTAGTAAATATTGCGTTGGAAACTACACTATGAATTAGAGCTAGAAATGTAAGACCTAAAGTTTGGAAGTAAAAATGTCTATTCACAGATAAAATGGCTATTTAGAAATTCTAGGAAATTTATAACAAAGGTATCAAAGCCAATAGGTGTTTGGATCGGGACCTGCCAGGGGATTATAGGGGAAGAGTTCTGGGTATGTCTGAGTACATAAACTATTTACGGTTATTAAAGGAGAACCATATTTGGTCCTTTGCGCCTTCCTCTCTGGTGCTGCTACTCTACTGGGCTTCCCGATCTGAAACTCAGCAGGTTTTCTTCGCCCTGCCCTTCCATTCCCTTAAGGAGCTTGCCTCGGAGCTTACTAACCATGTAGTGAATCTCCTGAAATTTAGCTAAATTAAGTCTCTCTCCCTGTCAGTTGTGGGCATCAAGTGTTGTGTTCCAGTCAGTGGAATGCCTACTAACAGAGAGCCCGGCACCAGAGGAATGGGTCCATGTTGTGATCATGTCTGACCAGATGTTTAGAAGGCTGTGGAGCTGGTTGTGGAAGGAGTTTGGGACTATTAAGAGAGGAGGTCTAGAGAAGTCATACAGTGCTGTATGAGAAGCCTGGTGGGACTGTGTGTGAAGTTCAGCAGACCAGAATGATGGCATGAAAGTGGACAGTAAAGGCCAGGCTTGGGAGGGGTTTCAGTTGGAAAGAAAGACTCTGTTGGACATTGGACTAGAGGAAATTTGTGCTACCCTCTGGAAGAGAGTGTGTCTGCATGTTGCTTGTGTCCTGAGACTTTGCAGGAGGCTGCTTTAAAGTTGGTGGACCCGTCTGGTTGAGGAAGTTTCTAGGCAGCCCGACGTGAAGGCTGTAGCATAGATACTGGTGCCTAGTCTTAGCCAAGTTAGTAGTGAAAATGGGAGAGGGAGGCAGAACAGAAAAACTTGAAAAACATAACTTTTGGCCAGTAGGAGCAATGTGTAATGTTGGGGCTAAAGTAGTGCTCACGAGCTTAGTACCACTAAAATGAAACTTAGTTCTGTGTCAGGGACCAGAAGACAGTTGTCTCCAGAGCATTTCAGGCATCTGCAAAACCCATCACAAAAGTACACAAGTGTTAACTGTTCAACTGGGAAGACAGGACCTTGGACCGCTGCTTGAGAAGGGAAACCTGGGAAAGAGGTTCCCTGGAACTCATTCCACTATGTTCAGTCACTGTGGGACTCAGAGGCTGTAAAGTCACGGTCCAAGAGAGCCTGAGTCACTGACATGCAGCTGCCTTTGCTGGTGTGTGGAATACAAGAGCTGTAGGGTCAGGAGGCTTCCACTCAGACATCAAGGGAATGACTGTCCAGTACAGGAATCAAGATAGAGTGCAAATGGAGAGGTGCTGACCAGTGGGACAAAGCAGGGCATCCAGGAAAAAAGAAGGACAAATGGCGAATGAATATATGACAACAATTTTAGCTGTTAGAGAAATGCAAATCAAAGTTATATTGAGATTCCAGGTCATCCTAGTCAGAATGGCTACCATCGAGAATACAAACAACAAAAACAACAACAACAATACATAAAGCAAAACACAGTAAATGCTGGCAGGATGCAGGCTCAGAGAAACCGCTTCACTCTGTTTGCTGGGGGACATACGCTGCTAGAGTGAGTCACTAAGAAAATCAGTATGGAGATTCCTCAGAAATGAGAAATAGAGCTGTCATTTAATCCACGTACGCCACTCTTTGATTTATTCCCCAAAGAGTTAAAGACAAAAAAGTGTAGCGAGGCCTGCATGCCCGAGTTTCTTGTGGGCCTTACAGACAGCCAAGCCGTGGGAAGAGGCCAGCTGCCTGCAACACGCAAATGGATGCAAGGGAACTGGAGACCACGTTGTTGAGTGAAATCAACTAGATGCAGAAAGTCAAATGGCAATTTTCTTCTCTCATCTGTGAAATCTAAAAGCATTTAGAGGGGAAAGAAAGGAGAGAGAGATGATAAGAACATAAAAGGTGAACTTCAGAGATGGGGAAATGGGCTGCCGGAGAATAATGGAGTGTGGGAGGGAATCACAGCCTGTTGTACGCAGGCCCCAAGATATCAAGATGAAGCTCAGTTTCTGTAAGATGAATATGTACTAACGACATTAAAGAAAAGCAAAGCCAAGCCCGGCAGTGGCCTGAGGAAAATGCTAACAATGTACATATCTGAAAAATAGGGCTTGGACTAAGAAGCAATTAAACTCATAACTCAATAAGAAGATAAATAATCCAGCTGGGTATGGTGGCTCACATCCATAAACCCAGCACTCTAGGAGGCTGAGGCAGGAGAATCTCAAGTCCTAGGTCAGCCTGGGCAACTTAGCACTCAGTGAGACCCTGTCTCACAAGAAAAAATTCCAAAGGACTGTGAATGTGGATCAGAGTGAAGCCCTTGGGTTCGCCCTCAAGTACCACAAGAAGGAAGCAGAGAAACCACACAGTCAAGTCAGCTAAAGATGTGAGCAGATATCTCAAAAGGAAGCTCACCAATTGATGGTAAATGTACGTCCGGTCCCACCAGCACTGTCACTGGGGTGATGCAACTGCCCCCCCCTAGCATTGCTAAGTACCACAACCGCAGTGTCGGGGGCCTGTGGCGATAGGGAGTGACCTTGCCCCCCCCATCTGCTAATAAGGATGCAAGCTGAGGAGCTGCTTTAAACCGTCCTGAGGTGTTTTCTTACAAGCATGCACTTACTACACGATCCCGCGATCAAATCTTAGATGTGAGTCTTAGAGAAAAGAAGTCACGCTTTCTCATAAAGATGAGAAGGTGAACGCCTTTGCAAGTCCTAACTCAGAACTTCAAGCAATCCAAGTATCCATGAAGCGGTGATCAGATAGATAAACTGTGGGGTTCTCGTGCATAAAGTGAACGGGGCTTGGTAGATGCAGTGGCAGAGGCGAATCTCAAAAGCAGGCTTCTTCGTGGAAGAAGCTGGATGCAGAGTCCTCGTGTGTGGCCCTGTGTCCGTGGCACTTGGGGAAGCCAGACCTAATCTCGGTGATGAAGGCCTTGGCTGCAAGTAACTCAGACCACGATCCTTTGCATGGATCAGAGCGCCCTATCTCTTGCTAAAGAGGTGCTTGGAGCGTGTCAGGGCTATGTGCGTGGTAGACCTAGAGTAGGTACATACTATTGTTTGTAAATTATACTTCTGTAAAGTGGATCTTAAAAAACCAGAAAGAGCATCCCTCCAAACACAGAGCCTGGGTGGATACTTGTAGCTTGGAGCTCGGAGCCTGGGGCGCTGCCGCCTGAGTCGGGCTCCTGGTGCTCTGTGGCCCTGGCGAGGTGGTGTGGCCTCTGCATATTTGTTCCTCCTCCTGAAACCTAAGTGCGTTACCACATCGGCTTTCCGTGGGTTCTCCACGATTAGAACCACGCTCATCGGCACAGTGAGCATCTGGTAAGAACAACCGCGCTTCTGATGAGCAGCATGGGGCGTCCCTGTCCACGCTTTGTTCTCTTCCTGTCTGTCTGTGAGGAGACCGGCTCACACACCTACAGAGCCTGGGTCTGAGCGAAGATGGCCAAGCATTGTGGACAGGTCACGTTGGGAAGCACAGCTGTGCCATCGGCTGAGGTGCAGGGTCCATCTCTGGTCAGCACCCTGCAGCCTTCCTTGGCTTCACAGGGCCAGCTCAGCACCACCTCAGGCTACCCTGCCCTCTGACACACTAGAAGTCCCCTGGGAGCACCCTCCGGCGGCCCGCTCTTGGGACAGGAAACGTACCTCATCTGACTGCATCCAACACTTACTTCTGAAGCATGTGATGGTCACAGAGATGCTGAACTGCACAATGCTGATGATGAGTAAGATGGACAGGAGCCCCTGCACGGGGAGGGGACATAAAGTGGAGGTGGTATCCCCTTCAAGATAAAAGCCACGCAACCCTTACCCTCTAGGACTAAATTAGAGAAAACTCATAGCTTAGACACCGCGTGAGCTTCCTGTCTTTCTGATAAGGCTCAGGCAGCAAACTCCACTGCCACTGGGGCCAGGACAGTGCCTGCCGCGAGAGGAATGGTTCAGAGGAGGTCGCCTTCCCTGACTCCAGCCCCTCGCTGCCACTTGGGAACAGGATGCCTGCTTTCATCTTATTATCATCTCTGGGGGAAGCTGGTTATACTATTTCTTGGAAGTGAGGATTCGCTGCGTTTCTCACACGTGTGGGTGGGACAGAGCACATGTGCAGGCTCAGTGTGGTCTGTGGCTTTCCAGGCTGCACTCCGCTAGGGCGGGGTTTAGCCAGAGGAAGTGCAGTGTGGCCCGGAGTCCACAAAGCTCACACTCGGGAGGCAGCACCAGCCGGGTGCTGCTGGGCCCGAGGCTACCCCCAGCCCTGGCAGGCGACCCCCTCTTCGTCTCTTGCAGCTTATCCCAAAGCAACAGCAGCCGCCACCTAATGCAGCTGACACTGCTGTGTGCGATTGTCTGGCTTTGGTTGTTGAGAAAGAGAGACCTGTACGGGTCTTTCTGGAGCAATATCAATTATCTACTTAAGTAAACTCTTAAGTAATGACTCTACTATGAAGAAATGTCATGAGCTGTGCCCCAGGGGCACGGGGCTCTCACTGTCTGAGAGTAGGGGTGAGGCCCCAACAGGGTGAAAGTGAATGGTGTGGACGGAGCCTATAAGTGAGCCAGAGAGGAGGGGACTGGTGAGCCCTGGCTGGGAGCAGTCAGGCAGCAGCCAGGCCCCGCTTTCAGAGCCCAGGAGGGTGAAAACCTCACACAGGAAGGGATTCTGGTGCTCGGGGGGTTGTGAGTCTTTTGAGCCTGTGTTTAACAGTATCAAACCACGGTTGCAAGCATTCATGAGACAAAACCAGAATTTAAATCCAGAGAGTCCGGCTCCTGCACCCTCCTCACTGCTGTCCCACAAAGATGCTTCTCAGTGGTCATTTCAAATGTCGACACAGCTTCAGTTATTAGAATAAAAATTAATGCAGCACACAGGTACTGCACCCCTGTGATCTCCACACTCAGGAGGCTGAGGCAGGAGGATCACGGTGCGTTGGAGGCCAGCCTGGACTATATAGTGATTCCAGGCCAGCCTGAACTGCATAGCAAGACCCTGTTAAAAGAATAATACAGTTCAGGTATTATGAAAATTCCTCACGCAAAATAGGCCCACTTACAAGGAGAAGCGTTCTTCCTATAGCACAGGGGCCGTCCACAGACTGCTTCTGGCAGAACTTATACTGCTGTGTGCAGCTGATGAGGGTGAGCACTATCCCCGCTGTGGCGGCGAAGGCGCTGGCGACGTTCGTGGTTGTGACCGACTGCCTCTGGAGATCGGTTTTAAGCATCGTAAAGAAAAGAAAAGCTGAATCAAACACATTATGCTTCATAAGAAATTCTTAGCGTGCTTTCCTTTCCAGATACTTCCCAGGAATGAAGTGCTGCATGGGGCTCCTAAGACAGGAAGGGCAGGTTCTGATTCCTGAAGTCAGCATGGCGCAAGGGTGCCCTGCGGCTGTGCTAATGAAGATGTCCACTTTCCTCTCAGCCAACCCGTCGGATGGTCTGGAAGTGGCTCCAGGAGTTAGAAATGTCCAACGTGATGGGAATTTATGTTTGATTTTTGAGCGCTGGCTTCATTAGAATCTTAGAATTACCTCTTAGAATTTCACTTTCTACCTTTAAGAATGAGCATAACATTATGTAGCTGTAGGGTTCAGAGAAACAACAGCCACCACAACGACACGAGGATGGCACAAATGTGAACAGGGAAGTAACTTCCTGCTGTTCTGTGGTTTTGTTCTTTTCCCTTGGAGGATTCAGGCAGTAGCCGATGGGATCACTGACCTCGGTGAAGACGCTAACAAGTCACACTGGGCTTTAGAGGCATCCTTTACTGAGATCAGTGTCCCACTAGGGAAGCCATAAGAGTTCAGATTGCCCCACCCTACTCATTCATTGCCACTGTCACTTCAGAGCGCATGCCTGGGCTCGTTCAGAAGCAGAGGGCCCCTCATTCGTCTCTCTAGATCCACTCCCAGCAGTGACTTGCTCTTTAAAGGGCAAACACACCACCCCTTCCCAACATCTCAGGTCACCAGCTATTTACTGTGCCGTTATTGATTGTGTTCACATGCTGTGGTAGGAAATGTCATGATGTGTTTAGACAGCCTGTCCTTCCCAGAGTGCCTTGGCTTAGTGTGGAGACACTGGGAGATCTACTTGTGACTTTGCGTTCACCCTAAGTGGAGATCCACACTGCAAGCACCTGGGGTAGACTTTGACTCACAATACATGTCGCGGACTACGGTCCCCAGATGGGCAGTCCTCACATCGATTGCACCTTTCCAAGAGCATGTCCCGCCTGTTCCACATCTGATCCTTATGGGTTTGTAATTTAAGGAAGGGCACTTGCTATCCCTGCTTTACAGGTGAATGGGCTTCAGGAGTAAGTGGGGTTCGTTTTGGTTGGAGCAGTTTCTGAACCTTGGCATGGCAGGCATTTCTGGTCAGACAATTCTTTTGTTGTGGTTGGAGGTTTCCTGTGCATTTCAGAAGCTCAGCAACACCCCTGGTGCCATCCCATGAGGTGCTGGGACAATCACAAATGCCTTCAGACCTTGTTAGTGATTCCCTGGTGTGGGGGGGGGGTCACCATTACTCCCAGTGTCATAGTGTGTAGGTGCGGGGATACAGCTCAGACCTGGCGTCCTTGGCTGGCTCGGGTAGAGTCCTGGTTGGCTTCTAGCAGCACACACACACACACACACACACACACTCACACACACCCAGCAGAAGGTGGTGGAATGGCTTCCAGTAAACAGATAAGCACTTGGTTTCCTTAACTCGGCCAGAGAACTGGGAGCTGGTGTAAGAGGGCAGGGCTGGCAGCAGGGATCCTCTGACCTCCGGCCCAGGGCGTATTTTCCCGGGAGATGCCTGAGTGCACCAAGGGCTTCCCGCACGCACGATGTCCAGCGAACAGGAGAAGGCAAGCCATGCAGCAGTCGGACCGACTTACCAGTGTTTTTGAGTTTTGCTCCTTCATCGTGAGGCACCCCGTGACAATAAACTGTGGAAATGACAAGAGACAAAGTTAACGGGGATGTGCTTGTCTGTTCTGCTCTAGCACCCTGCCCACCACGCCTCAAGTAGTCTTCTGAGTTCAGAGAACATAACAGCAGGTGACACCGCATTTCTGACCCCCGGGAGTGCGTGTTCTAATGTGGGCAGCTCTATCTAGCATCTATCCCGAAGTACACGGCACGAGGTCAGGAACCACAGCCCGTGAGTGGGCGGGAACAGCACTGCCCAGCGCAGCCTTGGCTGTCTTGCTGCCGAGGGCCACTAACCCTGCCTCTGGGCGGAGGAGGTGAGACCCCTGCGAGGGTCTGTGACTCAAGAGCACCCAATGGTGGGTGCACGCAAACATCACAGCCCTCTCTCAAGCGTGGTTTCCTTATTTGCAAAGGAGCAAGCAGAATATTTTCCTGTCTAACCTTGCTCAGAGTGTACCCGACATGTAAGGGCCTGGGACCAGGCAACGCTGTGCGCGTAGGAGCGGTGGCTGCTACGCCCAGGGACCCAGCGCGTGCCAGGGGTCACTGCGGGCTGGGGGCTGCCCCGAGCCTGCTGGTTGTGTGTGGGGGAGGGGTGTTGTACAGCAGTCATGGGGACAGCTCAGCTCACCCCATCCCCACAGCGACTTCCCGAAGGTTCCCAGAGTGATACTCACGATGACGGGTCCCCAGAGGGGATAGGCCGAGAGAAAGACCACGGGAAGGGTCCCTGAGAACAGCAAGTGGTGCACTACAAACACAGTCCCGATGCTCGTGATGAGCAGAGCCAGCAGGATCTGGACGGCCTGCGGAAGGAGAGGGCACCGCGGGTCACTGGCCGCCTCCCCTCCTGCGCACCGTGGCTCCCAGGTCGCTGGCTAAGCCCTCCTGCCGGCTGCTGGCCTGTGTCTTCAGCGTTTGAAGCTGCTACTCCTGTCCTTTATTGCCTATGTTTGCTGGTGTTACCAGTTTCTGTGTTAGATGGACTTGGTCATATGTCTGGGTTGTTAACTACTTTTTACAAAAATTAAGTTTATCAGCACTTTTTAGGTACACAAAATGATTGCTTTTGTCCTAGGGAATCTAGCTATGCACGACCTGCTTGTTTTGTCTCCTTCTGCCCCTCCCCTCCCTCTTCCTCTCCCTCTCCTTCCTCCTCCCCTTCTCCTCCCTCCTCCCCCTCTCCTCTCTCCTCCCCCCTCCCACCCACAAGTCC